TACCTATAAAGTTATACAGTACTTACTAATACCAGTTTACTGACCATTTTCATGTACCTATAAGGTTACGCAGTACTTACTAAGCACAGTTTACTAACCACTTCCACATACCTATAAGGTTATGCAGTACTTACTAAGCACAGTTTACTGACCATTTCCACGTACCTATACGGTTATGCAGTAAGGTCAGTAAACTGTGCTTAGTAAGATTTCCACGTACCTATAAGGTTATGCAGTACTTACTAAGCAGTTTACTAACCACAAACAAATAAATAATGAACTTATTTACAGCGAACAAAATGAACAATTCCGGCACATAGATGTAAAATTATACACAGACTTTTATCTACATTAAAATACTTTTATTCACAAACTTTCGGCCCTCTTACTGGGGCCTTCATCGGACAACAACGTACAGAGTGATACAAATTTGTGGAATATTGCTTTAACCCTCTTTCCCCGGGTACCCTTTACTGCACATGATACAAGGTTTTAGTGTCTTAGATTCAAAATTTTATTAAACAACTTTTTGTTTATGTTATACCAATTAGAATAGCATAAAATCTTAGCTAATAATCCATACTTTAAAGTATAAAAGTTTTAATTTCTTAACTCGAGAAGGAAATATCTTAGAAAATCCTGAATTTCCACTGGTGTGACACGTTTGACACATTTTGTCTTAGCATGTCATCATCCCTATTTTATCCATCACCGTCGAAAATGTACGAAATTAAATGTAAAATACTCTCTATAAAATCATTATTGCTCATACAGATCATAATTTTTATAGCCTTCAATTTTGTTTGGTTACAGAGCTATCAAATTGAAATCAGACCACTCCTGCTACACCCACCTATCACATCCTATCTTTCACAATTCGTTGATAGTTCTCTCTTACGTTTCGTTATATATTACCTATAACCAATATAAAGTCAAGGTTTTCATCTATCAAATGGCGTATTGTATAACGTTGTGTTCTGAACAGATAACCATCAATTTCACTCCGAGTAGCAACATTGTTCTCGTGGGAAAGTTAACAACTAGCTTGGATGAATTTGTAACGGCTCTTGTCGAATAGTTAGAAAGTCAGGAATTTGTCTACTTTTTGCATGTTATTAGTCTATATTCTTTGATGTATTATCTAATTAAATAGAAATTGTTAAGTGCTTTACCATAATCACCAAAAAAAATCAGGCTTAACTCTTCTTGGCAATCGAGGGCAAGAAAAAAAAGATTGGGTAAGTACTTTATTTCTTGTTTTTCATATTTATTATTATAAAAGTAACTAAAATTAAAAGTACGGATCTTTTTAAGTTATTTAAGACTAGATTAGATGAAATAAGTAATCATAATAATATAATTAAAATGGTTCATGAGGCACGCACGCGAGCAGCTCATGGGTAATGTAATTCGATAGTGTAACGGGATTACACAAAGGAAATTTGAGGTTTTTGAGATGAGGAAAAATATTTTTAATTTTAACATGAAAATTACTTTGCACACAG